AAATAGTACTACCATTCGCAATTACAACTTCACTGCCAGTTTGGATCTAGTGAAGATTATATAGATAATATTGTGAAAAGATAACTTTAGTAAATAATTTATAGTTATTGTATGGGTTGTAGTAAATAACCCAGTTACACACAGGTTCATATTCCGTGTCGAAGGCACGAGATATGAACCTGTGTGAATAACTGAGTTATTCAACCCATATAATAACTATTTTATTGCATGATATCTGATGTAATAATCCTGTGCCAATAAGTAAATGAAAAAAGCATAGGTTGTCACATAAGACTCGTGCAATAATTAAAAATATTCTTTTTTTTTTTTATTAAAGGAATTTAATGTATTTGAAATCAAAATTTGCAATAAATAGAATAACATAATTATAAAATTTACAAATTAAAATTGATAGCGACTTATTATTTTATTATGCCCTTAGGGCCAAGAGAAGTTAGACTACACTAGTTAGTCTTTAAATTATCGTATTTTCATAGTAGTTATTTATATTAATACATATTCTAATCTAATGTTTAAGTTGTAAGATTATGTTTTTTATGACTTAAATCAAAAATGGATAACAAACTTAAACTATATATTTTTATACCTCAAAATTTTATTTCAATTAAATGTATTGAATCAATTTAATGTATTTCTAAAACATAAAATAATTAGTATCCGCAAATATATTAAAATTAAAATGCTTCAATTGTAAATTAATACTTACTGAATTTTTTTTTTTCTTAATGAAAATATAATTTTTTTTTTATAACAGATACAACTTTCACATATATTAAAGATTAATTTCAGAATTACAATATATATATATATTAATGAATTAGAATCTTGATAAAAGCTAACTTTATTATATTAATAAATCTTCATTTCAAAAAAAAAATAGAGAAAAATTTTATATTTAACATGTTTGATGCTGAAAGTAAATCGTATTGATTATTCATTAGGTTAGTTCGAGTTACAGAGTTTCCAAGTTCTCTACTTAGTAAACTGATGTATTAGCAAAGAATTCCTATATTTTGTATATATTTAGTAAAGTGAAGCTTATATAAAAATATCAGATTACTTACTATAGTTTTACAGTAGTATAATCAAAGTAAGAGATTAATTTATTGTTTAATAATAAGCTAATTTTAAAAACAAAATATACAACCTTCATTCTGTTCATTCTCGTTCCTTTGTATTTTTCAACCAGTCTTGACTACATATCAACATTTCAATAATTTCTGGAGTAAGATTTGATCAATAATCATTAATAACTCTACCAGCCGTACTGAATACCTGAATAAAAAATTAAAATAGTTAATTTATATTGGTAAACTAATTTTAACTCGAATTTTACTTACTGCTTCAAATGCTACAGAAGTTATAGAGATAGCAAGAATGTCTCTAGCTATTGATGCAACAGATGGATATTTTAATATATTTTCCTTCTACCAAGCTAAAACATCAAAAATACTAGAGGAAGAGCGGAGAAGAAGTGGTTCAGAAAGATAAAGTTCAAACTCATCCATATCATTGATTATATTAACTTTGTTTTCTGCAATGTAACGGTCAAATTCTTGCATTAAATCATCTTCTTGCAGATTCAAATTAGAATAACTATGATTATTAGGTATAACCGTATATTTAAAATAGGTTGATTTATAGATTATCATAGCTCTATATAAAAGTTAAATTAAAAATAAAGAAAATTATATTTAGAGATGCTATAAAAACTATTATAGCTTATATAGTAACTACTGTAATTATAGTATAAGCTTTATTCAGTGGGTAAAAAGCCTCTAATGCTAAACAAACCTCTTTTTTACATTATTACTAAGATTTATATATATATAATTTTAAATACAATTTATACATAAATATATAATGAATATGTAATAATTACTAATTTAAATGTTAAAATGATAATCTTAGTGATTAAGAAACAAAAAGACCTGTTTAAAGACTTTTTACCTATCTGATATATATATATAAGCTATAATAGTTTCTGCTAAATAATTATAATTAAAGGTGTTATATTGTACTAATCACCTTCTTTTAATAAAATTCAACTTTTCCTCAGCTTCAGTGTATGATAAACATATTTTATACTTATATATATGAGTTAAAAATGATATCTTATAGCGAGGATTCATCATTGATGCAATGCAAATCGTATCTCCCACATCTGCTCAATACTTATTGAATTTGGTTTGCATTAGTATAACCATCTGACAAATAAAAGGCTCTATGTTAATAGCATTTTGTTCAAGATGCAATTTAATTTTTACCAAATGGGGAAGAAAAATATTCGCTGTCGAATATATGCTTCCTGATATAATATTTGTAACTGTATTAAAAAATAAATAACTAATTAATATATGTTTTTTATTAAAATATATTAAAAATTTATCATCACCTTCATTAAAAGGTTTTAGAAAATTACAAATACACTCAGCTCTATTCCAATCCTCATCAGAGGGCATAATATGTTCAAAATTAATATCTCGTAATGCAAGTTGCTCGAAAACACATTTATATGGAATAGTAGATTTTAATATTAAATAAACAGAATTCTATCTCATAGGCACATCGAAAGCTGGTCATTGACTTGATTTAAGCTCAACACAGCACTCAATTACCACATCCTCAAAGTTTTGTAGCCTAGGTTGCGAACTGTGAACCTACTTCGCACATTCTCGAATTTTGCTTATAATATTCTTAACCATTCTGAGACCATCATTGACAACGAGATTTAATATATGTGCACAGCAGCATTGGTGCAATAAACTTCCATTAGCAACGAGCATGTTTTCAGTCTCAAGCCTGTGCTTTATGTTAGTAACCGCGGCATCATTACTGGTTGCATTGTCTATAGTAATTGCCAATATATTTGATGCAACTCCCCAATCATTAAAACATTTAAAGAGCATTTCGCTTATTGCAACACCTGTATGTGGTGCAGGAACCATTCTAAAAGCCAGGACCAACTTTTGGAGTTTCCAGTTTATATCGATAAAATGACAGGTAACAACCATATATCCAAGAGTCTGGTTCGATGTCCACATATCGGTTGTATAGCTTAAACGTCTAGGGGCATCATTTACCATTGCATAAGCTTTCTCTTTAAGCTCTTCAGCGATTTTTTTACAATCTCTATGTACTGTTTTTTCACTTATTACTTTATATTTTGGTTGTAAGCCATTAACAAACTTTATAAATCCTTTATACTCAGTCATACGAAATGGATACGAATGCCTAATAATCATTTCTACCATTTCTTGGTGACTTTTTTCTTGGCAAAACTTATAAGTTACAAGACCTGCTACGGATAATTGTAATGTTTGTTGTGATTCATCAATTTTCAAATATTTTTTACATTTTGTATTTTTCAAATGATGGATTAATGAGCTAGTTCCAGTTGTATTATCGTGTTTCAAACTATTTCCACAGTATGAACATATTGCATAATTTTCTAACAAATTATATGAATAATATTAACTAATTCACTAAATTAAAAACAACAGTATAACATTATAAAGCAAGTGTTTTACCCCTTTGAGAATCATGATTAAAATGACCTTCTTTAAAAACCTATGATTCTGAAATGTTTCTTTTGCGTTTTTTATTAACTTCAATTACTTCGTTAGTTACTTCAGGACTTTCATTAGTTACTTCAGGATTTTCATTAGTAGTGGTTATTTCAAAGTTCTCATTATTTGCAGTTATCTTAGGGCTTTCATCTTCACTCACAGCAGAATAGATGCTTTGTGTTTCTAGTAATATTTTTAGAATGAGTTAGTTGTCTAATTTAGAATAGACAATATATGGGGTGTGATCTATTAAAATAGCTTATTTTTACATATAAACAATTTTGAGTAAATCGATTTTAAATAATGATCTACAAATAGTAATATATATAAAATTTTCAACTTAAAGTTTATTTTGTAAAACTTTTTATTATATAATTAGCTTTGGTAACTTAAAACAAACTTTTTTATTGAATATATATCTATTCAAAAATCAAATAAAAAAATTTTTGAAAAATTGTAAAAATGGGCTGTTTTAATAGATCACACCTCATATAATTTCTTTATATCGAATGATTCTGACATACCATAGTCCATCCTCTATAATATGGTTTGAACAAACTATTTTTAATACTTTCAAACCACGTAACCTAAAAGAAAAGGGCCTGGTTATTAAATATTTTAAATCTCAAAAATATGGATCTCTTCTTAATGAACTCTCCTCAATCGTATACCTTTTGGTTCTAACTTTTGCGCCTACAAGTATAAAGACATCCTTCCATAAATACTTTGTCTTGTCCAATAAAAAAACTTTCCATATAACAATAATCCGTTTACTTGACTTATCTAGATTTTTTTTTTTATTTTTATTTTTTTTCACGTATGTTCCTTCAGGATATATTCTTTTAAAACATACATGCACTTTTTTGTTTACTTTTAACAGCAAGATTTATTGTTATCTATCTTTAATTTGCGTTACCTGATGCTATGCATACATCTGCAGGTCAATCGGCCAAAAAAAATAAATAAACACAAAAATAGCTAGTGCTAGTGCAAAAATAGATTCATATGGGTGAAAATCTCAAGTTAAAACATAGTGATTATTCAAATTGGATGATTAGTTTACAATCAGGTATATTCATACAAAAAATTTATAATTAGGTCACAATTAGGTACATACAAAAATTTATAAATATCAGGTTACAATCAGGTACAATTTCTGATCAAAAAATCACTTTTATTCTCAATAATCATGCCATATCACATAAACGATTGGCTCAAATTTTATTTAACCTAATCACTTACATTAAATCATCACAAAATTAAAGATTTTTGCTCATATCGATGTGCTTGTATAAAATAATAATTTGGCCTGTTGGGCCTAACTGCAAAGCCCAAACCTGGCCCAGTATTTTTGTTGGCCAAACCCAAACCCACCCCACAAGTTAATGGGCTTAAAAATATGGGCTCAAACTAGGCCTAAGCCCAGCCTGGCCCAAGAATTTCTGAGTTAGCCTGACCCATACTGTACTCTAATTGAACCTCGTTCCAATCTGTTAAGGAACTGATTCCTATAGTTAAATCATCTGCATAAGCTGAAGATTTAAAATATTAGTTCCCCAGTTCAATACTGTGTAGACGATTTTCTAGAGTGCTTATAAGAGGCTCAAAGGCTAATATATATAGTAAAAGTGAAAGAAGATCTCCTTGTCAAACTCCTCTTTCAACTCTAAAAGGTTTAGAGATATCACCTGCTTCAGTAATATAAGCTTCTTGATTAAAGAAGAGGTTTTGAACAAGATTAATGAACTTGGTATCGAAGTTCATATTTTTTAAGGTAAGTTCTAGAAAATTGTGGTTCACTCAATCAAAGGCTTTTTGTTGATCAATAAAAAGTAACCAGTATTGTTTAGAAGGATCTGCTTGATTTCTTATTGTTGTAATAATGTCTAAAGTAGCATCTGTAATAGATCTATTCTTGATGAATCTTTGTTATTAGTGTGGTATAAGTTTCTCACAAATAGAATTAAGGCAATTAGCAATAATTTTCATAAAGATTTTAGCATCACTATTAACTAGTGATATGGGCCTCCAATTGTTAATATCTTTTAAGTTTAAAGCTTTTTTCAGTATTAGAGTAATTAGACTTTTACACTAAGAGGAAGACATTACACCTGATAATAGAGTATAGTTAAAGACTCCATAGAGAATTGGAGTTATAACTTCTTCTGTGAGTTTGTAAAACTCATAAGTTAGATCATTAGTTCTAGGAGCTTTATTATTAGGGAGATTCCTAATAACATTGCTAATTTCTTCTTAAGAGATTTCACATATTAGCTCTTGATTATGTGATGAGGAGACTTGAGGCAGATTTTCTGTGATTTCTTTAGCTGAGATTAAGCTAAAGTCTTCTTTTTTATAAATTTCTTCATATTTGTTTCTAATATAGTGAAGAGTATTCTCTTTAGTTTGTAACAATACTTCAGGATTTTTGATATTTTTAAGAGCTGAATATGCTTTTCTTATTTTGTATCTAGCAAAGAAATATTTTGTAGATCTTTCTCCTTGTTCAATCTATTGAGCTTTAGAACGAATTTGCCATTTTTCTGCAAGATAGGTTAGTTCTTCTTGGAGATCTAAGTCTAGTTTATCTACTTGAGTATGTAAAAAAGAGTTCTCAGGATTATGTATAAGTCTTTTTCTAATCCAAGTAATATCTTTGTTTAATTTTGTGATTTTGCTTTCAGCAGCTTTTGGTTTTTTGAAAGCTCTTATAATTGATTATATATGAATTTTGCAAAAGTTCTAATCCTCAAGATCTTCTAACTCAGTAATTTCATCAAAAACTTCATTTCTTAGTTTTTCATTTTTGAAACAATCTTTGTTAAATCTCCAGAGAGCAGATTCTTTTCTTTTAGTACTAAAGTTAAGTATATATTTGGCTAAGAGATGATTAGAATTACTAAATCTAGTATCAATTTGTGAGATTAGATTTGCGTTATTTTATCAATAAATATATAATCAAGATAAGTAACCATTGTATAATTTCCTTGAGTTTTCTGAAAGAAGGTATGAAAAGGCCTAGACTTTACAAGATCTGATGAATCTAAAAAATTCTTTATGAGATCTTGTAATTGAGCTCTTGTTGTATATCATTATGAAGCTACTTCACTAGTTCTATCTATTTCTGGATATAGATTAGTGTTGAAGTCTTCTGCAATTATATTAATAGAGTTTTCTTTGAGTTGAGGTATTCATTTTTCAAAAAAGAGCTTTTTGTTGTTGAGATTAGGAGGAGCATAGATATTAGAGATTTGAAATATGGGCTTTTTGTATACAAAGCTTGTAGAAATAACTCTATTATCTAAGTCTATTTCTGTGTCTTTAAATAAAATATTTTTGTTGCTTGCGAGAATAGCTATTTTGTTTGTCTAAATAGAATCAAAAATCTATTAGTTTTTGAGAAAGTTTTGTGTATTTTGGTTGTTTAAATTTGTTTCTTGTAACATAATTATATCTAATTTGTAGGATTTTAAAAGAGTTAGAATGTTCTATTATTTTTGTTGATTGTTTAACCCCTTAACGTTAAGGGTTGCAACTTTAAATTTAAGTTGATCAGTCATATTAAAGATAGAGTAGTACAGAATTAGATATGTGAGTTTTGTACTTCAATACAAGTTTTCCTATAAGGAGCAGCTTTAATTAGTTCTTCTTTTTGTTCTGAGATGTCTTTTTTGTTTTTTTTTTTTCTTAAAGAAACAGTAGTAAATTCCTCCTCAAGATTATTTGTTTGCGAGTATAGCTTATTACTATTTGTAATGAGTACTATTAGGATCTTCAAAGAGTTGGTATCTTTGATTTCTATAGTAGTTTCTAACTGCATATTATCAGTTGTGAAGTTCTCTTTGTTGCTGTTATCAAGAGTTTCAACTGATAGAGTTTCTATATTTTCTTTTTCTAGAGAAGAGCTTTCTGAGTTAATATCTTCCATTGTAGAAGAGTTGTTTTCTGGAGTTTCCTCTATTTGAGAGGTTTCAGTTTTTATACCTTTGTTAGAGTTGATAGGGTCTTGTTAGTTTGTTACTTCCTCGTCCAATTTAATATAGGTATTTTTATCTTTTTTTTTGTTAGCAAGGAATTTTTTATACTATTGACAGAGTGATAGAGCTTCTTTAAATTGAGAACATTCTTTTTTAATATGTCTTTCTTTGTTACAAAAATAACAAAGTTTAGGAGCAGAGTGCTATTTGGTAGTAACTTTGTTATCAAAGATAACTTTAAAGCATAGAATTCTTTCTTCAAGATCTGAGTCATCAGTAGTCTCAAAAGTGACTATCCATTAGTCTGTTAAATAGGGAGTTCTTTCAATTAAGAGAGGTTTAATTAAAACGATTTTATCTATATTATCAAACACTTTTTTAATTTCTTCTGAGATGTCTTCCTTATTACCCAAAGGTATATTTCTGACTTTAACTAAGAAGAAAGACCTTCTCATATCAGTTGGAATATAGCCATAATAAGTCTTATTAAATATCTCAATTCCCTTTGTAGCATAGTATTTAAGTTTTTTTTTTGCTAGCAAATATTAGCTTAAAGTAAGTACGTAAACCTCTATTAATATATAGCTTAGCAGCAATTATATCATGTGTTGCAGTTTTATAAAGAGAAATTATGATTTTATTTAAAGAACCGTTGAGATTTTGTATGTTTAAAATAAGGGCATTATCATTTTTGAACTTAATAATATTTTTTGAAAAGAAAGAGATGAAGATTTGGTAAAGTAGGTGTTGAGAGTTTTGTTAAGGAATGATGAATATTTTGTAATACTTGTAATTCTTGTTGATTTATGCTAAGTTTAAATTGGTTGTTTTCTTTTTGTGTTTTGTATTTTAAGTTGATTGTTTGGTTGTAGTTAATCTGTATTTTAGTAGATGTTGGAGAGATGAGAGTTGTATTAGTATTTGTTGAGATAATTTGGTAGTTTTGGAATATTATTTGGGTTTGTGAGTAGTTAATTATTTTTCTAATTTGAAGACTAGGAAGTGATGTATAAATAGTCCAGAAGTTTTTGTTTGGGTTTTGCAGTGTAATAAAATCGAGTGTATTTAGAAAAGAGTTTGTTGGTTCAAGGTTTAGGTTAGACCAAACCTCAAGTATTGGAAGTGTAGTTATTTGGTTTGTTATATATTTGTACTATTTAGGTATTGGCCTATGGAGAGATTTATAGGTTCAGAGATAGATATTTTTCCATGGGAGTAGGTATTTGTTATCTGCTGTGAGTAGTTGTTCGAAAAAAAGAATTTAATTATTTTTGAGACTGAGTATTGTTGTGATGTTCAGATTTGAAAAGAAGTTATAAATAGAATTTAACTAAAAATTTGAAATTCAACTTCTAATTAGAAGTTGAATTTTACCTTTTTAACTAGTACTTACTGTTAACAAATTTAAATAATTTCTCAGACCTTGAGATATATTATAGTAAACTCTATTCATTTCTGAGAGTATATTTTGTAAATTAAGTTATATTAAATTGATTAGAACTTAGAAGTATGATATAATATTATATGAATAAATTTTAATAGGATATACAGACAAAAGACCTGCATAGAGAAATTCTAAGTTAGTAAAGTAGTATAGCTTTTTGACAAGACTATATTAGTTAAGTCTAATCTAAAAAGAAAACTTAGTCTAATAAAGATAGAAGGTTTTGAAGTCTCTGAATAAAATGTAACTAGAACTAGCTGAATATTAGAAAAATACTAGATTAACTAACTAAAAGAGAACTATAGTAGAATCTAGAGTTATATAAATATCCACAAAGATCTAAGCTAGGTGAATTCATAAAATAAGTATAGACTACTCTAATAGATTTGCTTCAAGATTAACTAGCTCTGTAATACTAATAATATACTTAGTATAATATATTCTAAGAAGATCTAAATTATTCTAAATAAATAGATCTATAATAAGCTAGCTAGCTTAAATAGTTAGATATTATAGTAATTTTAGATTAGATTTATATAGATTAATGAATAAAGTATTTAAATAGATAACTTACAGACAGATTACAGATATAGCAGCATATTGTAGAATTAATCAAGTAGTCTAATGCCTATGTAGCAGATTACTTAAAATAAATACTGACTAAAGTTGTATATATAGCTTGTTATATACTCTTTAAGTAATTACTAATAGTAGAGATTATTAATATATAATCTTATTTGCAACACTAATAAAATTTCTTCAGTATAACAACTCTTTTTGATAATTACTTATACTAAAATTTCCTAATTTATTTTTTAAAAATATATAATAAATTTTGTAAAAACACAAAAGTAACAAAGCAGAGAAACATAAGACAGTATCTGTTAATTAGAGCTAGTTCTTATATACTATTTGCTAATAGGTTCAGAGTTTATCACTTTATCACTTATTGCAATATCAAAGTGGTACTTGTTATTTAAAAATAGTTCTTATATGCTACTTGCTGATAAGCTCAGAGTTTATTACTAACTCACTAAGAATAAGTATCAGCTATACTCTAGATAAATACAAGTAGATAGTAGATTTTAGAAAATATATACTCTCTTTAAAAATTTTTTGGTACTACTATTATTCCTCTCTTGGGTTTTTTGAATTTCTTTTTACTGAAAATTAAAAAAATAAGGGATTTAGTGAACTTCTAACAAGGAAACTACAAGTTTGTACTATTTTCTAATTTAACAAGTTATCTGTTGATATACAACTTAGACAAGATAACAAATATATATATTACTATTATGTGAATGATCTAATTAGAATTTAACTTTTAGACAAGTTTAATACTAGAGATATATGTTCTTGTTTTTGCATAGCATAATATTTTTATATTTTGTCATACTTTTTTTTTTTTTTTTTTTTTTTTTTTTTTTTTTTTTTTTTTTTTTTTTTTAAAAGCCAATTTTAGTTTTTTTTTTTTTTTTTTTTTTTTTTTTTATTTAT